ATCGCTAAGCCCGTCCCATGTCGTCACTCCGCCCTTCACTTGGGCTCGTCCGAGTCAAGCCTTTTTGACGCCACGGACCTCGCGCATAGCTCGTGCAGCTTGTAGCCGAGATCAAAGAGAGGGAGAGGAAGAGGTTGCGAGAATTTATAGCGCTGAAGGCGGCGCGGAGCCAGCGCGAGGTGCGGGTAGCATGGGGTGTAGATGGGCAGGGCAGAAGAAGGGACGAAGTTCCAGAAGGATCGAAGGAGGCAAGTAGAACGATCTGTGGGATTGGGGTGGTCATTCAAGTGGTACGTGCCTTCCGCTTTTTCCACATTGATCCGACCATCCCAATTACACAGCCAATCGTTCGCGATGATGGGTAAGGACTCAGGAGAGGATCGGACTTTGCTCAGGGGAAGACGAAGAGGAATGCAAGAAGGAAACACGCGGCAAGAATGGAAGATGGCGCGGGGATGCAAAGCGGGGGAGCAGGTTTACGTGGCGTGCAAAAATTTGAAAAGCAGCTGCGCGCGCAAAAAATTCAAAATTCCTATTCGCACTAATTCCTAACTTTTTCTTGGATTTCTTGCCGCGGTCGCTAACTGGCCATGCGAGAAAGACATCAGGGGCAGTCCTGGAAAGGAAAATACTTTTCTGTTCCGTCCCTCCTCCCTGCTCAAGAAAAGAAAAAAAAGAAAAAAAGTAAACCCCGTTCTTCCCAATCACCTAGAACCCGTACTTCGAGGCTTTACGTGGGATTTTCTCCAGAGGGTACGGGAAGCCGCTGAGTACGGATCCTGGGTTATCACAGGTTTTCCCCGTCGCCAATGCCTGATCACCCCGCACCATCGTGATGAGGGACTGATACCAGCCTTGCTCTTGCACCACTGCTGTACCTACCCCATGGGCTGGGGAGACTTCCTGGTTTCGTTGCTGCTCCCCCGTACTATACATCCAGTAGTGTGAGGATGAGATACATAAGGAAAAATATATAAAAAAGAAGATTGAGAGAAGAAAACAGTTTAGTGTTAAAAAAACAAAAAGGTAGGGGCCGGACCGCCGTTGATAATTTCCACCAATGGCGCTTGGCGCGTGATGTAAGGCCATGTACCACCAGGTCCAGCACCGCCTCTCCCAGGCACATTTTTGTACCTTTGAGTCTTTGACCGCCAACTCGGCCTTCGGGAGCTCCTCCTCCTAGACCTCTTTGGCTCGCACCACCAGCCAAAAGGAACAAAAAAGGACTGCCACGCCTTTATATTGTGAGCTTGGTGCACAGGCCCGGAGGTAGTGGTTGTATAGCAAACGAAAAAAGAAAAAAAGAAAAAAAAAAAAAGATGATATTCATCGGATTCCACTGGGATTGAATTTTGAATTCATGGGCAAGGAGGAGGAGGACCATCTGTCTTTTGGTGTATTCTTTTTTCTTTTTTCTTTGCATGGAAATATTGGGGACTTTTTTTCTTTTTTTTTTTAAATGAAGGATCTAAAGAGCTGACAGCTTGTCATATCTTTGAACTCCCTGCTCCAAAGAGAGAGGGTCTTGTTTGACATATTATCTACAAATCCAAGAAACCTTGTTTTTTGTCATTCCACACGGTCCTTTTTTTTTTTACCACTAGTACGTTTGCCTCTTCAGGAATGAGGGAAAACGCCAGTTCGGAGGCCGGGCCCGAAGACGGCTGCCATTGATAAGTCTGCCTCCTGAAAGGTCAGAGGCCCGCTATTTTCCGAAATGACAAAGGTACTAGTGGTTTAAGCCCAGGTTGTTGTAGAAGCTGGATTCTGGACATATGACTCCGGTCCCTTCCCTACCTCACTATTATTCTCCCCAGTGCACCCTCTACACCCCAGTCATGCCTCAGTACAAGGGCTATGATGCCAAGTTGCCAACCACCTGCCCACGGTGGCCAGGTGTCCTAATGACCAGTCCGAAGGAGCAAATGACTATGAATGTGAAAACATTTCAACAGCTTGTCCTAGAGTTTACAGGATGAAACAGCCATTTCTTTGAAATTTGTAGGAGACTCGAAACTCGAGGACTGCAGGGGCCAAGTCCCACTAGCGGCGTTGAGTTTCGTCAACGCCCGAATCTGGACGTGCTTGTGCAGATGTACAGAAAATCCGGTTGAGTTTCCTCAACTGCACATCTCCACGAGCACGTCCCCATTCAGGCGTTGATGAAACGCAACACTGCTACTAGTGGGACTTGGCCCCAGGATGTTTCAATTTGAAGGAGAGCCTTCATTGCAGTGATAACGGCATCCTGAATATTGAACATGTGCCGGAGCCCTATGGGCTGAAGCCTGAAGGTGAACTTTGTTGGGGAAAGTTATAAATTTAACCTCCCCGCGGCCAAACCTTTGTATTCATTTCACCCCAAACGGGGCAGAAGAATTCACATGCCCCAAAATGACTTCTCCTAATTTTGCATCCTGGCTAGGCCCCGCTGTGCAAAAATGGTGGCAAAGTGTTTTACAGAGTGCAAAAATGACGCTTAAGGTCATTTTGGGGCCGGCGGCACCTTTTGCCCCATTTGGGGTGAAATGAACACAAAAAATGAATACAATGGCTTCGCCCCAGGCCAGGAGAGGTTTTATAACTTTTCCCAACTTTTTAATTTTTCCCAAGAGCAAATTGGCAACTTACCTTAACAAAAGAGCGCTCTTGCGCCTTCGTCCCTCCATACTATGGCGTCTACAAAGGCACTTTCTGGGAATGCGACCTGGGGCAGGTCAGTTCAATTATGATATCTCAGCCTCTCAGGACCAAAGTTGGCTTTTTTAGGACAGACAAATCAGGGATATCTTTCCAGGGGCCAAGTCCCACTCGCAGCCGTCCAAATCCTGAAGTGTTTTTCTGCAGTTGAGGAAAGTCAACCGGATTTTCTGCACATCTGCACAAACACGTCCAGATTCGGATTGGACATTGACAAAAATCAACGCTGCTAGTGGGACTTGGCCCCAGGACTGTCCTAGAGTTTCAAGAAGGGGAAATTGAAGAAATACCAAGTTACCAACGTTTTAATGTTTCGGGGTGAATATACCTGCACAACAAAGCGAGTCGGGGAAGGGGGAGTTTGGGCCTCGCCACACCACTCTTGAAACCGTGTTTTCAAGAGTTGGACGCGTCGCCACACAGCCACTTGAGAGTTGTAGCCCGAAAACTCTTTCGAGAGTTGTCAGAACCTCATTTCAAGAGTAGCACTCGAAACTCAGAAACGCCCAGCCTGCAGCACCGCTCTTTTCAAGCGTCCTCCCGAGGGCACTCGAAGGGCCCTTGATTTTCGAGAGGTGTCAGGCCGTTATCCTGACGCCATTCGGAAAAAAACAAAGCTGTACGACTGTCGTTTTTCATCGTTTGTCCAACACCATCGCCCTTTCGAGAGTGCTGTGTGGCGAGGGCCCGAAACTCTTGAAAACCCAACTCTTGAGAACGTCTGACAGCTCTTGAAAAATTTCCCCGTTTCAAGAGTGGTGTGGCGAGTCCCTTTGTTGTGGGATCAAGAAAGGTGGGTTTCTCCCATGATATTAAGCTAGGATGTATTTCTGCAATTTTACTTTTTTTTCCAGGATCTTCTAGATGTGTTGAACGAGAAAAAAAAAAGAAAAAAAAAAAAAGAGACCCTCAGATTTGGACTCCACTCGGAGAGTCGGAAGGAAGATTGCAGAATCTGACACTGTGCCTGAAATGGCACACTTATGGCATTGTAATGTATTCATATTATTCTTTTTTGACGTTTTTTGTTTCTAGTTCGAAAGAAGATACCTTTGAAAAGAAGTCCCATAAAACAAAAGTCCCATATCGTGCTATGTTTGCAGCTCACGAGCCTCAGGATGTTATCGGTTCCTCGAAAGAATGGCCTCCAGTGTCTATCCCCTGATTTAATGCCAGCTTGGAGTTCATCATCGTTGACTTACTCATTGAGTTAGAGGCTCGCCTCACAGGCTGTCGAAAACCCGGATTTCTACAATTTTGCATCGCCACACAGACTTTCGAAGAATTGCGGCTCGAACAACTTTCGACAGGTGTCAGGATGGCACTTTCGACAGCCGCCCTCCAGCAACCGTTTCCTCCAGCCTGCAGGTGACGGAAATTCGACAGTGGCCCGCCCACCTTTCGAAAAACGGCTTTGATTTTCCATTGACTGCTCCCTGACAGCCATGGCCTGTTTGTCCGTATGTAGTCAACAGTGGCTGTCGAAAACAGCGTCTGCATCTGGTCCGCCTGCGTGCACCAATTCGTCCATGTAACAACTCCCGACACGCGACCGCCTTCGCCACACAGCACCTGTCGAAAGGCGGTGTCGACTTGCCTACTTTCCACAATTTCGCCTCTCGACAGGCTGTGTGGCGGTAGGGGCAAAATTGTCTACCCCCGGGCTGTCGAAAAATTACTGACACCTGTCCTAAATTTTCTACATTCCACAGCCTTTGTGGCGAGCCTCTTAGGGCCTCGCCACACCACTATCGAAAATGCCTGTTTTTAGGATTGCGTCGTCGTTGCACACAGTCCTAAAACGAAATCGGAGATCGAAATGTGAAAACAGCGTTAGGACGAGTCCTAAAAGATTTAGGATTCCCCAGGCAAAATCGTCCTAATTTTTCCAGTCACCCCCGACCTACTGAAAAATTTAGGATTCCCGCGTTTCACGGAGTCGTTGCGTCGCGCGCATGGCACCGTCGACACTCGTTGGTGGTCCAGAAGCGGTCCGTCGAGTCGGTGGTCGGACATCGGAGGTTTTCTGCGGCTCGACGCGGGCAACGGCCACACACGGTAGCCGTTGGTTGACGGGGTGGAGCGCGGAGGGCCGAGCGTCAGCGGGTGGTTGCCCGTACTCGACCGTTGGGTCGCTTGCGAGATGCGGAGTCGGACGTCGACGTGCGCAGGATGAGAGACGGAGCCGCTTCGGGCAGCGCCCACCGCAACGGTCGATTTTCAAAGGGAAGGCGGGCGTGTTCGTCGTCTTCTGTGGTGGTTGTCCGCATATGAAGGTCGAGCGCCCCTGTCGCGGGCATGTCGGAACACACATCTGCAGTGGTCACGTGCGAGGGCAGCTGCAGAGGTGAATTTCATGGCTGACGTGCGGAGGAGATTGCCTCTGCTGGTACTCGYTGTCGTCGTCTTCCTGATTGTCGTCTTCCTCTACGTGTGTTTTTYGTGGCGGCCGTGGAAACAACAACGCAAGAGGAGGGCTTCGACGAGACGGGCGGCAGGCGAACGTCTAATGGCGGGCATGCAGGCACGACCGGCTGCTGCCGCAGGTCAGGGAGGAGTTCGATCTTCTGCGGCGGAGCCTCGAAGGCGGTACAACCCGTCCATGTACACCCATCTGGAGTCGTGGGACACACCATTGCCCCCGTCGGACGAGGAGCTGGAGAAGGAAGAACTTTCGACGTTGCCTCTCGCTAGCGGCTCGACTCAGTTGTGGTCGCAGACGGTGCGAGCAGGCGGGTCGGCTTCCGACGGAGGGGGCGAGTTCACGTCATTGCTCCATCAAGGCTTGCGGGACGACGACGACGGAGGAGTTGATCTGAGGTTCGAGTTGTGTTCTGGCGGCGGAAGGGAGGCGAGTCGCACGTTCATCATCGACGGAGATCATTCGACACGTGGCGTTGAGCATGGTGGAAGTCTGCATACGGAGCAGTCCACTCTTCGTCGCGCTGCACTCGTGACTTGCGTGGTCGGGCCATCGCCAGCGGGACGGCAGCATGCATCGACTGCTCCGTCCGTCGATCGATTGGGCGGTGCACGTTCACTGATGCCTGCGTGCACAACACCGGTCGAATCCGGAGTGAGGGACGAGGGAACGTGCAGAGCGCCGGTACGTCCACGACCCACTGTGGAGAACATAACACGTGGAGTGTCGAACATGCGGGCACACAGCGATGGAGGCGAAGACGACGTTGGCTTCGGTGACGACGCAAACGAAGGGATGAGGGAAGACGTGGAAGTGGGGGACGACGACGACGAAGTTCCAATTCGGCCTTTTTGAAGACGGCTGGGAGGGGGAAAGGACGCGGAAGAGGTGGTGTCCGTGGTCGATCCGTTGGCCGTGGAGAAAGAGGTGGCGTAAGTGACGACGCCGGGAAGTCTTCGACGTACTGGTCTGCAGAAGACCAAATGCTCCTGGTGTGATGCAAGCGGGAGCAAGATATGCACCTCGCCCGCTTGTCTCACAATTACGGGCGGATGAAGACGAAAGAGTGGAAGTGGGAGGACATGTCGAAGCGGATGGCGAATGCGGGGAGGCCGAAGGACGCTGACGACTGCATGAAGAAGTGGGATAATCTGTTCCAGAACTACAAGAAAATTCAGAGGTTTCAGAATGCCAGCAGGCGGCCAAATTTTTTCAGGCTGGCGAACGAAGAGAGGAAGGAGCACAACTTCAAGTTCTGGATGGACAAGGCGTTATACAACGAGATCCACGCAGGCATGGTGGGGAACCACACGATTTTCCCTCCCAACGTTGCCGACACCGGCAGTCCGGATGGGGTGCAGCTGCCCAGGCGAGGAGAGGGTGGCGGGGAGTCTGTTTGTAGTGAGGCGGTCGGTGAAGGCTGCCCTGACGAGCGTTCTTCTGCGAGGGAGTCCGACAGCAACGCAGGCAGCGGGGCGGGAGGCGGGAAGCGGAAGAACGCGCGTCAGCAGGCATTCAAGTCCATCTCTGATGTCATGGAACGCCATGGCGCACTGATGTCGTCGACGATCAAATCGTCTAGCAAGCGGCAAGCGAGCATCTCCACGAGGCAATGCGACATATTGGAGCAGGAAGTTGCCGTCCAAAAAGCGCACTATACGGAGTCCGATGAGACGCAGAGGATGATGTGCCAAACACTGTTCGAGATCGTTGCCGCCATCCGTGGTTGGTCGGCGATGTAGGCCATTACGTGCTGTGTTGATCAAAGTTGGTTCTTTGCCGTCGTCATCGAGTTCTTTTTTTTTTTTTCGGTTGTGAATTGCATGATGTCGCCATT